ATGTGCTCAGATATTGACAGGGCTTTATTTAAGTTTATTTGGAAAAGCAGAACTGAATATGTGAAAAGAAAAACTATTATTAGAACTTTTTCAGAGGGTGGGCTTAATGTCCTTGATTTTAGCACTCTTAATATATATATATTTTTAATCAATTGGATTAAACATTGCTTGGCCCAGAGTAAATCTATATGGTTTAATATACCCAATTAGTTTTTTGAAAAGTGTAGTGGGTTATCCTTTCTACTATCGTGTGACTTCAAATACAGTAAACTTCCCATAAAATCATCTAACTTTCATAAGCAATCACTAGAAGCATGGAAAATAGCCTTTAAACATACTTTTTCTCCACATTCATGCATACTATGGAATAACCAATTTGTGTTGTCTAAAAACAAGAGTATATTTAAAAAAGAATGGTTTGATAAGGGAATTATATTTATTTCAGACTTATTGAATACTAACGGTGAGATTTATACATATCAGCAATTTCTTTCTTTCTCAGGGATTGAATCTTCCTGTAGAGATTAAAATTTGGTTGTGAAAAGCATTTCCCCTAAATTGCTTTACCTTGTGAAAATACATCTCAGTTACATATTCAGCTGTCCGACAAATTCCAAATCTTGTTATTGGAGGTATTAATATCATGGATATTAAGTGTAATAACTCCTATATTAGAAAATGTCTTACTCAAGGTGTCAGCTGTTACCTAAAAGCACTCATAAAGTGCAAACAATTCTTCATACCTTCCACTGAGAAAATATGGTCGGCAACTAATACATTACAGCGTGTCTGTGTGGAAGCCCACAGTTTCAGAAAATTACTGTATTTATTAATTTTCAGTTTCAGGTGTGATTCTGTATGTCCATCAATTTAAACTTTAATGATGCTTACAAACTCTCGCTGTGCTGCGAATCAGTCTGTTTTAAACAACATTTAAAAAGTTTTAAAAGATGAAATTTTCAATTGCTGAGAGATAAGCAGATATATGTGTGTGAGAAAATATCATATATGGTTCTAAAAAATAAATGACACTGCGGATGAGAAGAGTATCTATTCTCTGTTTTTATTTGAGCTCCCTAATGAGTCATGTTACATCTTAACATTCTTTTGCAGTTTACTGTTGCTGTCAGGTACTATTTTTTTAGCGGAAGGACAGCATTTAACAAACTTTCAAAAAAAGTAACGTATCATTACATACATTTTTGTTTTTAATCATTTTTATTGTGTGGTAACCGTTTTAAAAAAGCAATAAGGTATTCGAGGCATGCTGTATTGTTGCAGGCACTCCGCTTTGCATTGTGCCTAACAACGCCCTTCAGCCGTGACTTATTCACAATACATCATGGCCTCTTGTACCTTATTGCTTACATAAACAACAACAGCCATTATAAAAGTTGCTACACACTTGGTCAGAATTGTTGGTACCCTTGGTAAATATGATCAAAGAAGGGTATGAAAATGAATCTGCATTGTTGATCTTTTTGATCTTTTATAAATAAAATTCACAACAATCTAACCTTTCATTAGAGAATAAGAATTTAAAAAGGGGGGAAATATCATTATGAAATAATTTTTTCTCTTTAATGCACATTGGATACAATTAACGGTACCCTATTATTCAATACTTTTTGAAACCTCCATTTGCTAAAACAATATAGGAGGTTTCTCCTATAATGCCTGATGAGGTTAGAGAACACCTGACAAGAGATCAGGGACCATTCCTTCATCCAGAATCACTCCAGATCTTTCAGATTCCCAGCTCCATGACGGTGCTTCTCCTCTTCAGTTCACCCCACTCATTTTCTATAAGGTGCAGGTCAGGGAACTGGAATGGCCATAGCATAATCTTGGTTTTGTGCCCAGTGACCCATTCTTGAGTTGTTTTTAAGGTTTGTTTTTAGATTATTGTCCAGTTGGAAGATCCAAATATGGCCCATTATAAGATTTCTAACAGAGTCCATCACTTTTAGATTTCTTATCTGTTGGTTTTTGATAGAATCAATTATGCCATATGTCTAAAAAAGATGTCCAGGACCTCCAGCAGAAACATAGGCCCACAACATCAAAAATACAGCAGTATATTTCATTGTACACATGGGATACTTTTTATCCCTGTGTTCACCAACCCCATCTTGAGGGTTTGCTGCTAAAAGCGAATTTTTGAGTTACATCTGACCATAGAAGCCAGTCCCGTTTGAAGTTCCAGTCATGTCTGACAACTCAATATGCTGGAGATTGTATTTTCTTTTCTTGATTTTATTTTTGAAGCCCTCCTAAACAACATGTGGTGATGTAGGTGCTGTTTGATCATTTTTAAAAAAAGGTTTTCTGACCCTGAAACTCAACCTTTTTCTGCAATTCTCCAGCTGTGATCCTTGAAGAGTCTTTGGCCACTAAAACTCTCCTTCTCACCAGGACGATATAGACACATGTCCTCTTCCAGGCAGATTCATAACATTTTCTGTTGATTGGAACATCTTAATTATTGCCCTGATGGTGGAAATGGGAATTTCCACTGCTCTAGCTTCTTTTCTTATAGCCACTTTCTAATTTGTGAAGCTCAATTATCTTTTTCTGCACATCAGAAATATATTCTTTGGTTTTTCTCATTGTGATGGGTGATTAATTTGGAATTTGGCCTTTGTTTTCCCTCCTATTTATATTTCTGTGAAACAGCATTCCATGGCTGGATAATTTCATGTTCATAATCACTCTGGTGTGCTCAAAATTGTGAATATGAATGGGAATATATTTCAGATATATTTTACTCATAAGAATTTCTAGGGGTAACTAATTGTGTCCAACGTGTATTTGAGAAAAAAACATTTATTTCATAATGATATTTTCCCCCATTTTAAATTCTTATTCTCCAATGAAAGGTTAGATTTTTGTGATCTTTAAAAATAAAAGATCAAAAGGATTAACAATGCAGATTAATTTTCACAGCCTTCTTTGATCATATTTACCAAGGGTACCAACAATTCTGACCACGCATGTAAGAATTTCAGTCATAAGTATAAAGACAGAGCTTTAATACAGCATTAAAGTTAGATAATATAAAAATATTAAATGGGGTCTGTATGTTTCGTTGTGAAAGCGAAACTACTTTGTTTGGCCTTCCAAAAGAGGATGATCTCCGCTTCGTCATGCCTGGAGCTGATCCGTGCTGGTCGCTGAGGAAATACATCAACCTCACGCTGTGGATTGCCGGATCGGCTTTCACCATGGACAAAGCGGAGTCCAGCCCCGAGGTCGTCACATGTGGTTGCCGCAAGCCCGCCGGCCATTCCTCACTCAAGCCCACCCACCGTTGCTCACTCTAGCCCGCCAACCACTCCGTGTGTGACGCCGTGTTTTTAGTTGTGAAAGCGAAACTAGTTTGTTTGGCCTTCCAAAAGAGGACGATATCTGCTTCGTCATGCCTAGAGTTGATCCGTGCTGGTCGCTGAGGAAATACATCAACCTCACGCTGTGGATTGCCGGATCGGCTTTCACCATGGACAAAGCGGAGTCCAGCCCCGAGGTCGTCACATGTGGTTGCCGCAAGCCCGCCGGCCATTCCTCACTCAAGCCCACCCACCGTTGCTCACTCTAGCCCGCCAACCACTCCGTGTGTGACGCCGTGTTTTTAGTTGTGAAAGCGAAACTAGTTTGTTTGGCCTTCCAAAAGAGGACATGACTAGAAATCAGGGGTTAAGTTGTATTTACAACACTGTTCCAGAACAGTTCAACCCAAATATTCAGATGTGTGCAGTGCATTTTATGGAGGACTGTTTCCTGATCCTGGGAGAGTAGACTACAATGCTGGCTGTTCTGACTGTTCTGGCATTGCACTGTAGGTTTTCATATTTAAAGGATTTGCCACTGATGATTCAAATGCGAGTTTTGAGCAGTGTAGAGTAGAGCTTATTGTTTGTCATTTCTCCGATCACAAATGCAGACATGGTTTTATGTTTACGTGGCGCGATGCAACGCAATGCGTAAAAAGACAGTACAAGTCATTATAATCCGTAATTATGTCCCCACTGGATGCAACAAATGCCTCGTTTATAACGGGTTTGAATGTTTTTGTCTCGTCGCTCCGGCTGGGACACGGCATCACAGTATGGTAAGGGGCGTAACGTTTCCATCACACGCATAAACATTTCATTACACCAAATACACAAAATAATGTTCTTTTTAGCAACATCATATGACCCCTTTAAGTTATCAAACTTTGCCTTCAGCCAAAACGTTTTGCTCTGGAACAAATAATAGATTAATGAGTCCATTAGATATACCCAAGACAAATGTATCTTATGTTTAACCACTATAGAGACATCAGAGCCAGTGGCAAATTGCAGAAGAACTGGCATAGGTAAGGCTGTTCTCAGCGGGTTCGTGGGGAAAAAACCCTTGCAGAAAGGGTTCATGGAGCTCACATCTCCTTAAAAGTTGAAACCAAATTTCTAATAGGCATTATTCTTTATTTACAAACTGCATATTTGAAGTCTAAACAACTACATTATTGTCTAAAAATCTCTTAAACTACATTCCGTGATAAAACAACAGAAGTAGTTGTAAAATTATAGTGGGTTTGGTCATTCGCCATCATATAATCGCTGTGAGAAATGCTGTAAGCGGAGTGATACAAACAGTGAAACGGTTATGTGGTGATACTGGTAGAACACCTCATGGACGAAAAGACCTCTAAGCCAATCAGATTCAAGGACCAGAAAGAACTGTTGTATAAATTGTAATATCACCCAGCCCTAAAACTTATTAAAGCATTATGACTTTCTTTAAAGCTGCTTGGAAACGGTAAGAAGCGAATATTTTTATTTGCTCAGCTAGCTCATTGATCAAATCTGTGAAAAAGAAAAGCTTAATAGATTACACACACTGAAAAAAATGTTAGGGCAAGTTATTTATTTTTCATTGGCTCAAGTTAAAAAATATAGATTTGAATCATTACCCAAAATTTTTTTAATTGGATGAATGAAATTTTTTTTTCAGTGCACATTTCACTTTGCACCACCTTTCTCTGGCTGGCATGAGGATATTATTGGTTAGTCATAGAAATCGTATCACTACTTTGTGATAAGTGAGTCTTTGCTGTTTTTGTGTATTTTCAGATGTTGTCTTACCACTGCTTTAGAGTATTTAAATGTAAACATACTGTATTAAATGTCACCCATTTTACCCACTAGTATTTATTATTAGAGTCAGGGAAAGCCACCAATGAGTAGCCATATTCTTAAGTCATGCCCCACACTTCTACATAACATTTATAAACAATATTTCAATTGAACTGAACAAAAAGGTAGCTCACCTCTGGAAAGAATGACAGAAATGGTTTAATATAGATGTTGGAGTCATGGACTTTGAGGTCATGGTCTCCTAAACCACGCGTCACTCCTATGGTGGCCATCACTCGTGCCTGTGAGTGAGAAATAATAATTTTAAAAAATCATAATAATTAATAATATATATATTTTTTCAAATCAGCACAAGCACAAAGTATCAAAAATAACCACAAAATCACAAGTCTAATAAAGTACATAGGACTATACCCTGAAAAAATAGACTTATATTTTACATCTTATATTCAAGTCTGCACAAATGAGATCTTGGCAAGGTATTGTAGACAGTGAGATATACCTAATCCTGCCTCCTCGTCCATTTAATCAAAATATTTTACCAAAATTAACAGCAACAAGTATTTATTTAATTAAAAGAATTGTCCTTTCACCCCATTACAGTGCCCTGAGCCTTACACTTTAATTTGATAAGCTGATTTACCCATGTTTTAATATGCTTCGGGTTTTTTAGACTGATTACAAGACTTTTTAGGTGAGGAAGAATATGCAATCTCTCACCAAGTATGTTTGTCTCAGTATTTGATTTGTTATGACTGATATTTGTCATAAATGCCTTATTAAAAATGTTGCAATAAAAACAAAATACAAAAGGGCAGCACTGTGTAACTTTCTATTTCTGACGCTTGTCACAAAGAAGAAATTCAGTCAAGCACCATTTATGTTTTTTAAGAGCTGTTCAGGTTTATTTTTTACACTATGCTTATCAAACAATATGAGTTCAGAGAAAAAGAGCCAGGTCTGCTATTCACTATCGCTTACCAAAACAGTCTTTTCGTATGTGCCACTATGTAATAGTTTTAGAGAACAGCACACACAGGGTCGGCGCCAGAGCGCACAAAGTGAGGGGGCAGGCACAATTTTTTTGGGGGGGCCGCGTTTTTTTGTACTTGTAAATAAAATAATCTGATATATATGTACAATGTAATAACATATAGCCTATTTTGATATATGAACAGGGTGTTCGTCAACGATTGCATGCGGTCGAAGATGCCCGTGTTTACAGCTCCGTAAAATAATCTGGAAGCTGTAAATTTGCTGTATAGGCTTATAGCTAAAAATATTAAAATTATAAACACACAATAACATTTTAAATTACTTCCATTTCTGAAAAAAAGAATATAGGCCTAGTAATTGTTGTCATAAATACACAAGCCTGGTTTTAGTTGTAATTATTATTAATTATTATTATTAATTCAGAAATAATAACGGCAGGCCTAATAATGTTATAATCAGGGTTTAAATTGGGCCGGGGCCGTCCGGGGTTTAAGCCCCGGCACATAGACTCCAGGGCTCGACATTAACGCTTCATTAACGCCAGACAAATAAGCATGCTGTGGTAAAAAATCTAAATGAAAAGTTTTTATATTTAAAATACAGTTAGTTAGGCAACATCACACAACGTGTTCACCATTACGACTGTTTAATAGTTCTATAAACAGTTCAATAAGCAAAAACAATAATATTAGGTCACTTACATTTTAGGCGGAAACAGCGCATCTCACAGAAACCAGACGATTCATTACTGATTGATTCCGTGTTTTGAACGAATTGGTTGAGTGAGTCAAAGTTTCATTAGGCCATGCATAAACTCGTTTCAACGAATCGTTTGAATGAACGACTCAATGACTCACTCATTAAACGCTCACTACTGGCACCTTACTGGCGTTTTAATTTCGTTGAAAAGTATCATTTCCACTATCATTTCTTGTTTGTATATTCAAAAATATTTAAAAGAATCTCATAATATTATTTAATGCAGTTGTATTTTTTAGTGTAATGACTTAATTTGATAATGTATAGATCACATTATTATAATTGAATGTATAGATCAAATGTAAGAATTTGAAATGAAAGTATTACCGGTAATAAGATTAGTGGGAAAATGCCCTCTATAAAGGTAAAAATGCCCTTGGATAATATATAAAAAGAACATAGATTTATGTCACAGCTGATAGAAAACTGATGAGAATATTGCTTCAGAATAAATCATATTTACAACATCAACAACAACAACCACACACACACACACACACACACTCGATACCATAGAGCCCCCCCACATAACAAATCCCAATTTAACCCCTGGTTATAATGTACCAACATTGTGAACACTATAGGATATTTTAGTTCCCCTCACTTTACAATAAATCCTTTAAATTTAACCGTATCAGAACAAAACAAGAATTAAAAATCTATATAATTCTAATGGATAAATATAATTGCAGTATATAATAATATAGCCTTAGCAATAAACAAGCCAAAACAAATTAATTTAAAACGAAACGTAAGGTAAAGTTGGGCTTACCTCCCCAAATGTTCGTGATGTAGTCTATTTGAAGCTAAACTCTGAGCGTATTTATTAGGTAAAATAAGATTTGTAGTAAATTCATGACCTCAAGGTTAGATTATTATAATGCTCTATTGGGTGGTTGCTCTGTGTGCTTAATAAACAAACTCCAGCTGGTTCAAAATGCAGCAGCTAGAGCCAAGAAGTATGACCATATTAGCCCGGTTCTGTCAACACTGAACTGGCTCCCTATTAAACATTGCATACATGTTAAAATCTTGCTAATTACCTATAAAGCCCTGAGTGGTTTAGCAACTCAGTATTTGAGCAAGCTCTTATTGCAGTATAGTCCTTCACGTCTGCTACAATCTCAAAAATCTGCCCATTTGATAAAACCTAGAATATCAAAATCAACTGCGGGTGGCAGATAATTTTCCTATTTAGCTCCCAAACTCTGGAACTAATTACCTAACACTGTTCGGGAGGCAGACACACTCTGTCAGTTTAAATCTAGATTAAAACACATCTCTTTAATCTGGTTTACACATAACACACTAACACATTTCTATTATTCAAAACTGTTAAAGGATTGTTAGGCTGCATTAATTAGGTCAGCCGGAATCAGGAACACCTCCCATAACACATGATGTACTTGTTACATCATTAGAAGAATGGCATCTACGCTAATATTAGTCTGTTTCTTTCTTATTCCAAGGTCACCGTAGTCACCAGATCCAGACTGTCTCCAGATCAGATGGTCTCTGCAGCCACCCGGACCAAGCTGTATCCAGACCAGATGGTGGATCAGCACCTAGAGATGCCCTCAACAGCCCTGAATGTCAGCGGAGACCATGTCAACAAGATGAGCCCCAGAGACAGTTCCCTCTGAAGACCTCATCACCTAGACGGCCATCGGGACAAGACCACAGCTATCAGATGAGTCCTCTGCACAATCAGACTTTGTTGCAGCCTAGAATTAAACTGCTGGTTTCATCTGCCCAGAGGCTGTGGTTTTTAGTGTCCTTGTTAGCATGGCCGCCTCCCATTTGGGAAAATCGTATGGGCATGGGCACATGACTAAAAGCGTTAATCCTATTCGCAGTGCGATGGAAAAAAGATTAGAATTCCTCTCTGCAAAAAAACATTCCATAAAACATCTGTTTCTGTTTGCCAGATATTTAAAAACAGCAGTACTGTTGGACCAAAATATTGAACTTTATATTTCAATTTAAAGTTCTGTTTTCAATATAACAATGTATGAAAATAAGCAAAAACACATTCAAACCACATTACAAAATATATATATATATAATTAATATAAACATTTAAATAAAAGCTACCCTAATGAAATAAGTTTTAAGGCGAGATTTAAAAATGTTAAAAGATTTTGCCTGCCTTATTTCAGTAGGAAGAGATTTCCGGAGCTAAAGAAGGAAAAGCCCTATCCCCCATCGATCTTAGGCAGCTAGATGGAACAATTAACAATCCAGTGTCAGAAGAACGATGGTTCCGCCTTGGGGTATATGGAGTTAAAAGCTCTGACAGATATTGCGGTGTCAAACCATGCAGAGCCTTTTAAGTGAGCATCAGAATTTTAAAATCAACCCTAAACCTAACAGGAAGCCAATGCAAAGACTCCAAGATAGGAGTGACATGATCCCTTATCCTTGTTTTAGTAAGGATTCTGGCAGCAGAGTTTTGCACGACCTGTAATTTGTTTAGGGTAGCTTTTGAAACCCCGGCCAACAGAGCATTGCAATAGTCAATTCGAGAGAAAACAATGATGTTTATCAACTTCTCAGCAACAGGGAAAGACAACATTGGACATAATCTGGCAATATTTCTGGTGTGTTTTGAGTTTGAGCTCCGTCAAGTTAATTATTTATCGTCTATTTCTTATCTTAAAATCAATTTTATACACCATCATTTTCATTTATATAACGTGTGAATATATCCCCAATCGTATTCTACAACAAAAACAATCAGAGCACCTTGTTATCACTAGTTTTATTTTGATTTCCCGAGCCCGCTATTAGCTTATAGCCCATTAGCATCGCCAGCGTGGTTGCCGCTAATCTCGCTTACATTGCTAATACTCTATTCACACATATTACCATTGTTTTACTCACTGTTACTTGCTTTAATGGCGGATGTGTGTCTACCTTTGAGTGCAGGTGAGGACACGTTCGAGTTGCATTCGGTGCAGCTCGAGCTGGAGGCCGTGGAGAAGCAGATCCGTGACCTGGTGGAGAGGCAGGCCCAGCCGATAGAGTGGAGAGCCGCGCTGGAAACATCTCAGGCTGACGCTCACAAGTCCGGGGTAAGTATACAGCGCGCTGTTAACTCTCCCACCACCTCTACTCTGTGTGTTTCTCTGCACAGGCCCGGTGCACCCAGGACGTGATCTTCCCAGATGTCCTTC